ACCCTCTCCATTCTTTACCTCAGGTCCTAGCCTTGATTCATGACAGTCCTTGTTGTGTTCTTTTGGTGGCACCTCTTTGACTGGATTGACCTTGGTTACCCCTTCTTTGTTCCATCAAAGAACTTCATCCCTCCATCTTCACGTTTGGGATTTCTTTGTTCCATTTCCTATAAAACCAGACTCTCCAATTGGGTATAAAACCATGTAGGTTGTTGAAAGAGATAAAAAAAAGTATATTGTAGGATAAACCACAAAAGACAAAAAAAGACATAACTACAGATATATATATGCCTTTCTTTAGGTATCACTAATTGAACAGTAAGTCTGTAAATGAAAACATTCTAAATCAAATGTGGTTCCCAGGTCAAAAATTATTTTGTTTTCCTTTAATTTGCAGTTATGTTTGTTTGTAGTGGCCTTCTTCAAAACAAGTATCTTGAAATGGTCAAGGGGATGGGTTGTGCAAACTGAAGTGTCAGCCACTGGTTTATCTGTGTTACAATTTATTATCTCGAGAAGATGTTCTTGGGTACATTCTGTTAATAATCTACTGGTTTCTTCTATCTATAATTCTATAAATAATAGAATATATGATGCATTTTGATGTGCAGTTATATTGATCCTTAAAGTAAAAACTCAATTTAGGACAATGCACGGGTGTTCTTGAGTCAGTGTAAGCACACGTGTTACAATGTTTTCTATTACAAGGATAGCTACTTACAATAATATTTGTGTCTGTTGAGGTGGGTGTTTTTAAGGCTACTGTGAACTATGTAGTTTCCAATATTGGTATCATGATGGTAGGAAATTATAAGGAGTCTTTGAAAATATGTTTAGTGGTGTCAGATTCCTTTAAAATGTGAAAATTATTTAGAATAATGTCTAACTTGTTTGTTGTATGTAACGATAAGGGTCGGCCTGGTACAGGAGAGTTTAGAGTTCGTTTCCGTGAGAGACGAAGAGAAGTTATGGTCTTGATTTACAACAGAGTTGGAAGCTTTTTTCAGGATATTTTTGTGGTAATCATGATCATGGAAAAATGATTCCAATTCTGTTCAGTGGGCATTGAATTCATCAGGCTCATTACACAGTTTCTGTAGTCTAATGAACTGGAATTTTGGGATGTTCTTTTTCATATGTATGGGGTGGTTAGAATTAAAGTGCAAATAGATGTGGGTGTCTGTAGGTTTATAATGAACACTGGTTATTATCTTATCAGAAGATATAGAAAGAAGAATATCCAAGAATGGTTGTGATGAATCAGAAATGTTATGCATGTAAGACAGTGAAAGATGGAAGTTACTTATATAATGAATGAACGTTTCTAGCTTGGGCAAGGTGACTGTGAAGATTCCAACAATGTCATCGATATATCTCTTGTAAAGTAGGGTAAGGGATATCATACTGTGTAAACCTGTGTTCTTCAATATATCTAATAAAAAGGTTTGCAAAATTGGGGTCCATTTTAGTTCCCACAGCTATACCGCTAACCTGTTCAAAACAGAACCCACTACATTTTAAAACTAGTGCTACTAAACAGCTCAAAGTATTAGTGA